AGTTTTTTTTTTTGTTTGTTTGGGTTTTTTTTCTGGTCACGAAAACAAGAGAAAGCACGTCTTCGATTAAAGTGAAAAAAAAAAATGAGGTTCAAATTTGACATCAAAAACAACAAATAAAAAATACAAATCGTGACGCACTCAAGTGAGAACATTCCAGAAATAGTTTAGCGAGAAACAGTCAGAACATTCTCATATTTAACAAACACAAAGTGATTGCAATATTTGTGGGGGAAAATATTGAAAAATCTGTGTAAATTAAAAGTTGGGGAAATGGACATTTTAATAAAATTGAATTAGTGTGGCTACATTAAGATATATTCTATAAATTAATCAGTTTCAGACAAAATAAAAAAAAAATGTTTTTTATTGAAAATAATTAAGATATGATATCTCTACTGATTAGATGCCAATTTAAAATAAAATGTTATTAACTTATATTTTAATTTGCGTATAATTTTTTAATTATACAGCGTGTAAAACATTTATCTAATTATTAATCTGCATATTAATATCACCTTAGATTTTAAGCATTTATTAATATTAGGTTATTAGAAATATTATAGACTTCAAATAAGACTCTTTACAATTGATGGTTTAGTTTGGTTTGTTTTCTTTTACGGTATATCAACCTCTGTGGGTTACTTAATGCCGACAACATTTTTATTGCTGGTTTGGTTTGTTTTACAGCATGTCAACCTCAGTGGGTTATTTAATGCCGACAAGATTTTTATAGCTGGTTTGGTTTGTTTTACGGCATACCAACCTTAATAGGTTATTTAATGCCGATAAAATTTTTATTGCCGGTTTGGTTTGTTTTACGACATATCAACCTAAATGGGTTATTAATGCCGACAAGATTTTTATTGCTGGTTTGGTTTGTTTTACGGCATATCAACCTCAATTGGTTATTTAATGCCGACAAGATTTTTATTGCTGGTTTGGTTTGTTTTACGGCATATCAACCGAAATGGGTTAATTAATGCCGACAAGATTTTTATTGCTGGTTTGGTTTGGTTTGGTTTGGTTTGGTTTGGTTTTTTGGTTTACGGCATATCAACCTCAATGGGTTATTTAATGCCGACAAGATTTTTATGGCTGGTTTGGTTTGTTTTACGGCATATCAACCTCAATGAGTTATTTAATGCCGACAAGATTTTTATTGCTGGTTTGGTTTGGTTTGGTTTACGGCATATCAACCTCAATGGGTTATTTAATGCCGACAAAAATTTTTTGCTGCTAATATTTTGTTCCAAAAATGTATTGCTGGTAATAATTTTTCTATTCAAATATCTATTGCTGGTAATATTTTTTTTCTCAAAAACTTATTGCTGTTAATATTTTTTTCAAAAATGTATTGCTATTTTATATATAATTTATGTATGTTTATTTTTACTCTTTTTTTTTCGTATGAAGACAGCTTTTATTCAACAAGAAATGACTAGACACAGGGTAGAGTGTTACTGGTTTCGACTTGAACTGTTACATCCGGCTGTTACTCAGACTATCATGCGAACTCTCACTTGGACGCAATGAATACCTAAGAAGTTGTACTTTAATTTATTCTATACGCGCGGACATCATAGTAGACGCAAAACGCGGGTGAATATTTAACCGAAAATGCTCGATTCAGTTCTAAAGATCGCCCTGGGTATGATGGTAAACTATATACGCGTCCTGGGTAAGACGCTTTCCTGCGTGCAACAGCAAGGCCTCTGATCAGGTTTCGAGGAGCATCGAACCAACTCTTAATTGCTGGGGTGGTAGCACCTATTAGGGTCCTAGTTACGGGCAAATAATTAACCCCTACACTAAAGTCAAAACACAATGAAAGTGTAAAAATAGGTTTTAATACCAGAAATACGTTTTTGTAAAAGATTATTAACGGCAATATATTATTACCAGCAATACATTTTTGGAAATGCAGAGGAAGGGCGTGTTCAACAAAAATGAAAATTATACTGACATCTCATTTTAACAAATATATTTACCAAAATTACACAAAAATATCTTTAATCATTTCCAAGATACAACGGTTTATAGATTGATCTAACAATTGGACAATTTTGCTGTTACACAATTTGGTCATTTTTTTCAGTTACGCCGGGTATATATGTATAGGCACCATTTCATCGTTAAAAATGTTCTATTCAGAACGTCAACCAAATACCAACTAAATATGTCTCTATGTAAGTGCGCACATGTTAAAATGACTTTCAATCGTAAGATTATTTTAGCAATTTGACGTTAAAATCTACTTCACAGTCGTTGTACAAGAACCGACAGTCCTTTCAAACCTTGGACCGTCAACAACTTAAAAAGCTACACAGGCTCTCTCTCTCTCTCTCGACTTTTTACTTCATTTCGAAAGTACCAGTCACAGGATGTGAACTGACTCTCATTTCAAACACTGTGATGTTAAAACCTTTCGCTGGAGGCGAAAATTGTCGCCGTAGAATTATCTCCCTTTGCATGCTGTAGGCTCATTCTATCGCCCTGTGACGATTATTATAAATAAACACTTGTCAACTGTTATTTCCAGTATTTTAAGCTGAAAATAGCCTACTACTGCTTTGAAACGATGCTAAACTTCCGACGCCATTTTGAATTCTTCTACACTCTACATGAGGTGAAACATCAATTAATCCCACGTTAATTTTTTGCGATTTTTTGTAAACAATAATGGCCACATCATCATCCAACAAATCCTTTATTCAAGAGGTTTTTGTGTTTTGGTTTTTGTTTTTTTTATTCGAATTCCGACGATGATGTTGAAGTCTTTACTCAAGTAGATATTGACCGTTAGGTGGTCGAAGATGATAACCGTGTGTCACTACGTGGAGGAAAATAATGATGACCACTAGATGACGACTAGCGGTTACTATCATCCATGGCTGCCTAATTTTATGGAAGTTATTGGCCCCATACATGTACCTGATAGCCTTCCTGAAGCTCAATTCTTTCGTCTGTTTATAAACGACGAAATAATATCTTTTTTGTCAACGAGACAAATACATATCCTAGTCAAGTGAAAAAAGAGCAAACAAATGCGGATGTCTACTCGTATGTAAACACAAGGACGTCAATTTTGACGAAATGAAAACCTTCTTAGCCATTTAGCTTCTTATTGCACCCCCAGAACTCCAGGAATAATAAAAATTAATATATGCTAAATTGTTAATGTATTTATTTTTGTTTTTTTTTTACTTTTACTTTTTTATTTGGTGTTTCAATTTTTTTGCTTTCAACGACAAAACATGCATGCAAAACTGTGGAGGCTTGTATTTCAATAAGTCGGTCCTAAAAGGGTCCGACGTTCAAAACGTTAGGGAGTTGCAATAATAGTTAATGACGCATCAATCTAGTTGTGGTCGTTGATACTTCAATGTCCGACATCGACTGACTCACTCAACTCCACTGAACCCAACTGGCGACCGCTATTACTACTAATACTTATTATGTGTGGGAGAGTCTATTACAATAGAATAGGTAATGTTCCGGTATAACAAAAACCTAATGCATTAAATAATGCATTACAGCAAAATGTTACTCATCCATTATTTTATTAGTATACAAAAATTAAAATTTATACATACAATACAAAGAAGTTATTACAATTTTAAAACAGTAGCTGTTCATGTTTTTGCGCCCTTAAAAAATGCAGTGGCAGGGGGGAACGATTCTAGAAAGAATTTAGTGTGGTAAAGGTTTTAAAAACACTGACCTAACAGTCAAAAATTAGATAAATATTTACCTTAAATTCAATGCAGAAAATCTGGGAGAATGTATAATTAAATTTCAACAAGAAAATTCTAGAATGAAGTTACAGAATAAATATAACGACTTTTTTTTTTTTTTTTTACAAAAGACGCACAATTTCATTCTTTTCTTTCATCACAAGAAACGTCAGGTTAGCGGTAAAAGTATTAAACTCAACGTTCTGTCCTCTTTCTTTGAAATCGACTAACGATTATAAGATTTAAAAGGCTTCGTGTTTGTGTGCATTTTAGGTAGGTGCTTGTTCTCATAGGGACAATTAAAGAAACATACAAAACGACTTTCAACCACAAACTGTTTATTTTCTTTTTTATATAAACTGTAGTGAAATAAAATTATTAATATCTTTTGGTTATGTCCGTTTTCCTTTTGGCCCAGGAGTTGAGGTCAGTATAAGCATTGTATTAATTGTCGAGCTCAAGTCATCCTTGCACAGAGTTGGAACAACCAAAAGGAAGGTTTGTATTTAATTTATCACTGAGAGGTTTGAATATGTTTATGGAAGTTCCTTTTTCTTTTACTAGGTCCAAAAGTTAGGGCAAGTAAGTATAAGCATCGTTACAACTGTCAGGCTCAAGTCATCCTTGCGCTAAACTGGAACAACCAAACAGAAAATTTGACTTATTTCGTAGGTAGAGGTTTTTGAAAGACACGTCCACTGCTATGCGTTGGAAAGTGAAAATAGAACGTAAATACCATGTGGTTCTACTTTTTAGAGCAAAATGGGACAAGAAAATATCTTACCTTTTTATAGACTTCAACAGCGCCACCTAAGGACGTTTGACGAAGCCAAGTTGGGGGTGATCATATTTCCGGTTCCTATACTCTTACATCATGGGAAAATTTATTTATTTATTTATTTTTATTGTTCGTTATTATAAAATTTATCGATTTTATTTCATTACACACACGATAATCGGAAGAACTCAGAACATAATTTCGGTAAAGGTCTTAATAAGTTTCTAACTACTATCAAAATTTTTACGACGCCAAGAGAAACGCACCGAGACGTTTGACATGAAGTTTTACGCCGGGCGCATCTTACTCAAATAAGAAATAGTTGGTTAGAATAACGATGTCAAGCAAAAGTTTCTCGCCCGTACAACGCAGCATAACCTTGCCAGTATTGCAATGAAAGCGATGTCTATTCAGGTTATTAAAATTGCATGCAGAGCTTACAGCAAACAGCAGGATCTAACTTTGATAAAAGCATGACACTGTAAATGTCAAGCGGTAACATACAAAATGGTCGGAGCGCGGAATTAGAAGAAAGGTCAGTCAATCCGATAGACGCGTCTAATCAATTTTCCGTCGACTTGTGTCCTTTGGCGGGCAAGTTGCTGCATTTCTGCTGAAGAATAAGTTTTCCTAATCCGAAACGCTGAAATTTTATTTACTATCTATTTAATTTACCTCAGTAGGAGTAGATAGGTTTGCCTATCGTCCTGTTCACACCCTTCCCTAGTCTCTTGAACAGGGATAGTGGGTTATCCCGTCATTCCTCTTCCGGTTCCTTCTAAAGTCTACTTCAACTCTATGCTTCTAACGTCTCCGCATAAACACTGAAATTTTATTTACTATCTATTTATTTTAGCTCAATAGGAGTAGATAGGTTTGTCTATCGTCCGGTTCACACTTCTCCCCAATCTCATGAACAGGTGTAGTGGGTCATCCCATCATTCCTCTTCCAGTTCCTTCTGAAGTCTACTTCAACTATATGCTTCTAACGTCCCCGAATAAACGCTGAAATTTTATTTACTATCTATTTATTTTACCTCAATAGGAGTAGATAGGTTTGTCTATCGTCCGGTTCACACTCTTCCCCAGTCTTTTGAATAGTTTTGGATTGAGTTTCCGGTTCCTTTTAAAGTGTTTTCATTTTCTCTCACTCCCAGTAACCTCTTGTTTGTTAGCGGTATTGACGCTTTTTTTTTTTTTTTTGGTTGAATTGGTTAAAAAAATTACATTTCAATGTTGACAGCTGTTATATATCTCTTATTTCTAGGGTTATTTTCCTTTCTCATAATAACTTGCTTAGTATCTCTAAAGCGTCTTTCGCTAAAAGTGATTAATAAAATTATCTGTATGGAGTGTTATACCAAACTATGTCATATCCATCTCTCTAAATTCCGCTTTCCCTCTCTCTCGTAGAGATTCCATTTTTGATTCTTTCTTTGCCCTTTGGGCAGTCTCTCTTTTTTCACTAACGCCTGGCTACATTTACATCTCTCTTTTTCTCCCCTCTCATTTTCTATGCATTATTTATCTCTCTTCCGATAAGTTTTAATCAACCTTATTCCCCGGTTCTCTCTCTCTCCCTCTCTCTCCCTCTCTATCTCTCTCTCTCTCACACACACACACACAGACCTGCACACACATACACACGATTTCTCTTTCTTTTTTTCTATATATAGTATATACACACATACTTTTTACTTTCTAAACCTGTCTTTCTTTACATCTCTTTATCATTACACACACCTGCTTTTTTCACTCGCATTACCTCTCGCAAGCTCTACATTACCCTCTCTCACTCTCTCTCTCTCTTTCTTTTTCTCTATCTCCATCTTTCTTTCACTCACACGATTTTTCTTTATCTCTCTCTTTATTTTCCTCTCTCACACAGACTTTCTCTCTGTCTCATTTTTCGCACTCAATCTCTACTATTAAACGATCTATATCCATTTGAAAGTTTTCTTTCTCTCTCTCTCTCTTTATCTCCCCTCTTTATCTAAATTTTTTTCTCACACGATTTCTCTTGGTCGCTCTGCTTCTGCCGTTTTTTGTCTCCCTCATTCTCTTTCGCACGCACACACTCTTTCTCGGCTTTCTCTCTCTTCTCTCTCTCTCTCTCTCTCTCTCTCTACAGCTCAACGTCACTCGCTATCTTTCTTTTTTTCCCCCATTCTATCCCCCTCCCTTTTACTTTTTGGTCTTTGGAATTGTTTTCAATGGCCATCTAATTCCAACCGGAAGTCCACGCTGACGCTAATAATGGCCGACCGAATACAAGTTGGTCACTGATCGATACCAAACAGGAAATTATATACGACAAACGATAACATTTGCTTGATTTATTGACCCGCAAGATTTATTATGCATTACGACAATTTGACCCCCATAAATAGCCCCATCCAGATTTCACGGAAGCAGAACAGATAGAAAAGATCTTTAGGTATCAAATTCATACCAAATCTGGTTGGATTTCTCAGTAGATTTCTTTGAATAATAGAGTTAGTAGAAGTCTTAGTGGCTAGTTATATTATCTAGTAGAAATCGCAGAAAGTAATTGAAATTATATTTTTTAGCGTTATCACACGGGGCTTTTTCCATACGTTTCCGTAAAACAAGCAGGCTGATATAGGGGACTAATAAGAAATATATTTTATCCGATTAAACACTGGCAAGTTTCCTCCAAACACAGAAAGTAGAATAGTCGATTGGAATCCTCCAGGTAATATAATATATAAGACAATGGATTCTCTTTTAAACACATATCGGAAGGATTATATTCTAGTGTAATGGAGATACACCTTATAGAATTATAAATAATCGTCCACTAAGTATTATATTTGATGTGAAGTAAAGCGTTCACTCCCCACTGACTCTATGAACTCGTCCAATATTATGAAGCCAAACGTCAACAGAGAACAATTTAAACTAAGGGAAATAACTCCGGATATGTCCAAGGCATTCATTTTCGTGCAGGATCTAACAGCGGAAAAAGATGCTTAAACACGAACTAGAATTTTAGCAAAGATTGAACACAATAATGACGCAACACTACAGAAAAATAGTGGACGATTACCAAACAATACTGAAGCATGATGCTAATAAATTTCAGGATATAAAAATGTGCATTGGTAAAAACTAAGGAAAAATGCACAAAACGGAATATCAAACTTTGTTTTAGATGCGGGAAATTACATCAAGGGGAAAGACTGTCCATGTAAAGATGCAGAATGCTATAACTGTGGTAAAAAAAAGGACGCATCAGACCACACTGCGGAAGTAAACCAAGAAAAATGTTCGCAGCAAGAAATTAATACACAATATTGCGACGGAAAAAATAGTCCCCCGAAACAAAAGAAAATTTGTTAACGTGCAAATCAATAATGTGGGAGTAAAAATGTCACTAGATACTGGTAGTGATATTTCAATAGTAAATAAAACTACATGAAAAAAAATTAAAAGCAAGATTTTCTTTTTTTTTTCTTTTTTTTTTTTTTGAGAATTAACATGTGATATTTATTTTCGATATAAGCAGATGAAAACAAAAGCGTATGTTCTAAGAAATGCGACGAATATATTCGGCACGGACTGGATGGGATTTGCCAATAAAAGCTTATTGTAAAAAGTGGACAAGCGACAAATTTAAGTCACAACGAAAAACTTAAGAATTAAAATGTTTTGTCTAATGAACTGGGTCGGTTTTCAAAATTCAAGAGAAATTTTCAAGTAAAAAAAAGGTTCTACGCCAGTATTTAAACCAAAACGGAACGTACCATTCGCAGAATTAGAACACGTTTACGAAGAGTTGGATAGACTAGAAAGAGTTGCTGTATTGGAGAAAATAAACCATTCCAAATGGGCTGCACCAGCAGTGTACGTTAAAAGACAAAGAGATGCAAAATTCGACAGGTATGTTATGCGCTGTCTTCCTTTGTCCCTCTTGCCGTAAACCTCTGCCGTGGGTATCAAATTTTCCAAACCCTCTTTCCTCATTATGTGTCATAAAAATTTCAGCTTTCGCTTTTTTGATTGGATTGATTCGTTTTTTACCGTTTATGAACGCTTTGCAGGTCATTTAAAGCCAGAAAATATTTTTAGATTTTTTTCTTGGGTAGGGAGAAGAGGTGGATTTATACTTTTCAAAGGCGTATTTCCACGTAAGTGAATTTAACAATCCCACCAGGAATTGGAAATAACAATTAACAGTTCCGAGCCATTATCCACCACCCGCACACCCGCACACCTGGTATTCCCAAGCGATCATCCATATAGTTACTGACCAGGTTAGACGTTACTTATCTTCGGTGTTTCAAAATGATGTGGCCGTAAGCTCACAGTGATAGGGCCCATTGTTGTAATTTGTCTACTCACTAGCATTGAAACAGAAAATAAAATGCCCTGCTAAATAAAAACAAAATAAAAAAGGACAAAATTTATTTAAAAAACGAGAAAAAAAATAAAAAAAAAAAATATATATATATATATTCATACATGTTTCATTAAATAATATAGACAATTGTTGTCTATTTATTTTATCTAAATTCGTTTTATAACGTCTGATAAGCTTAATAACATTATCATTAAACAAAGAAAGAGAATCACAATATTGATACATGTTTTTAATTCCGATTTTTGGCGCTGTCAGAACCACCGCAAGGTAATTTTACGTAGTCCTGTGAAGTTTTGTTGAAATCGGTTGAAAAATGTAGGAAATCCGATCCAATATATAAATGTACAGACACACACACACACAACCAGGGTTTTATAATAAGTATGATGAAAGAAAGACTAGATAGATAGATAGATAGATAGATAGATATTGGGAATATTTGTCTATGATTCATTAACTGTTTGAACACTAACCACCGCTTTACCGGTAGTAGAGAAAAATGACTTAATCCCCAGCCACCGGTTGAACGGTGGGTAAACACTTGTAACTATTTTTATATCTATCGTGAAAAATTAAATACCAGTTATTTGCGAATTTGACTCAGGAGCTTAGGCAGGAGGTGTAAAATTGTTCAGGAACGCAGGGATCAAAGGGTTAAATCACTTCTGGTGCTCTGCACACAGACAGGGTACATCGCGGAGAGTTACTGACTTAATATCTGAACTTGTCGGTTTTGATATTTCGTTCTTGACCTGTTTTTCCCCTAGACACTTCTTCAGATATCTGAGCAGGGTGACGCTTCCATATTAAAATTGCACTGGTAATAAAGCAGACTGAACGATTTATTTACATTTTGTTCGATTTGAACATCGCCATTGACTAAAAAGAGATTTGGGCTTTCTTTCAAGACGTAGACGATCATGGCTCTCAACCTCCGTCCCTCTGCTAACTACTCCAGACCACGTTTTGTCATCCACTTGCTTAAGGCCGCCAGGTAAGTCATGCGTTGTTTTCCCTTGTCTCTCTTTTCCTCTATTCGACCCGTGAGTATCATATTTTCCAGGCCCTCCTTCCTTCTTTCTTTTTATGTGCCATGACCTTTCAGGATGTAGGCGATCATGGCTCTCCACCTCCCTCTATCCCTTGCAACTCTCAACAAGTTCCTTCCCTCTGCTAACTACCCCAGACTACGTTCTGTCATCCACTTGCTTAAGGCCGCCAGGTATGTCATGCGTTGTTTTTCCTTGCCTCTCTTTCCCTCTATTCGACCCGTGAGTATCAAATTCTCCAGGCCCTCCTTCCTCATTATGTCTCCCAGGAACTTCAGCTGCCTCTTTCTGATGTTAAGTATAACTCTTGTCCTTGTTTTTAACCTCTCTAAGACCTCATCGTTGCTCACATGCTCGGTCCATGATATCCTTAACATCCTCCTGTAGAACCACATCTCTGTCGCATCGAGTCTCTTCTTCATCTTTGAGGAAATCGTCCAACATTCACAGCCGTAAAGAAGGACATTTGTCACGTAACAGCTCAATATTCTTTTCTTTGTTGTCGTGAGTATCAGATTCTCTAGGCCGTTCTTCCTCATTATGTGTCCCAGATACTTCCGCCGCCTCTTCCTGATATTAAGTATAAGCCTCCTCTTTGTTTGCAATCTCTCTAAGACCTCATCGTTGTTCACACCCTCGGTCCATGATATCTTTAGCCTCCTTCCGTCGAACCGCATCTCCGTTGCCTAAAGTCTCTTCTTCATCTTTGAGGAATTGGGCTAGAAAAGCCAAATGACGATTATTTAGCAGCCGGGCTTTGGCTTGAATATAATTGTTTAAAATATATCTAAAAATGTAAATGAATGAAATATTTTGCCTTGTTCAAATCAGGATTCAAGTTGTTAAATCAAATTACTGCTTTATTACGCATAAATACACCGAACTCAAGATACTCCCAACCGCCCAATCATTGCTTCAGATAAATGGTAAATTTATGATTGTTTTGACTACGACCACAAAAGTGAATAATCCTAATCGCCCCCGTATTCCATTAGTTAGAAAGAAATTTCACTCAAATCGTTTATGTTTGTTTGATTTGTTTTCTACAGCTTATAAAGCCTTTGGAGGTTATTTAAAGCCAGAAAATATTTAAGATTTTTTTTTTTTTGAGATAATAACTGTTTAGTGATATATGTTTTACTAATTAATCCATAGCTGGGGAAGAAGAGGTGGATTAACGGATAGAGTAATGGATAGCGGATCGGAATTGGAAATAGCTGTGGACAGATGTGGTGGATTCATAGATTTCCCAAGGGTTTTAGCACGTAAGGGAATATAACGAACCCAACTGGAATTGGAACTCAGTTCTCCGATTAACAATCGCTATGACTGCACGTCCACATACACTCAATCTGTCGTGGATGGGGAGAGAAACAAACAAAAGACTCCCTAATCTGGTTATAACTCTCTAATCACGGGGTTTTACGGATTTACAACAGCTTAGATGAAGTGACTTATGACAGATAAGCCATAATTGATCTGCTCGTCTTGTGATTTTTGAAAATCCGAAGCTATAGCCAATCTCGGGATTCCAGGGTAGCTTCAATAGATTTTCAATTTATTTACTAGCAAAAGAACCCGTCAAAAATAAAGAGATTATTTACGTATCGTAAAAATATGATCTGCATTTTTTTATCATTTCACGCCAAGCAAGGCGATAAAGCCACTAAGACCAAAGTAGATACTGAGACAGAAAAACGTTATCGAGGTGAAAGGACAATTAAATGAACAAGATGCAAGGAGACGGAAGTTGACATTTGCTGTAACATTTAGAATTTTGTACATTGTATTTGATAGGAAAGCAAGAATATGAAG